AGTCTTTATTTCAACAATGAAGTTACAATCAAGGCCGGACACTTAAAGCGTGTCCAATACTGTTTTACACCAATTTTTATACATTTTCTCATTGTGTAACAATACCTCGTCACTTAAGCATCATCATTCTCTCAACCAATCACCATCGTTGTTTTCTCCCTTGATCCACAACCCTATATGATAAGTTTGTCAATCATCTTTTTTACTGTTTGGTGCCTCGGCTGAACATAAGGGTGACGTGACCATCTCTACTCGGTTTTCTTTAATGCCCAGCCAATGAATCTTTGATGAGCTCAGGCGAATCCCTTTCTTCAGTAGCAAACCTTGGCAGCTTCTGCTTGTTGCAGATTGTCTGGCTAGAGGGTTAATAAGATATTTGTCCTTCAACATAGTGATAAGCTGCAGCACTAATAAAGTACATATTCATACACTAAAGGCTAACAAAACGGCTAACAGATACAGAGACTCCTAAGCCAACACCAGGTGCTCATTCATACTTGTTTTTGTCACAATGTGCACAGCAGTAATAGGTCTGCCTTCTCTAAAGATTACAAGGTCACTCTCTACACAGTTTACATCAGCTTTTTAATAGAGTCCTAATGATTACATTCTCTATGCGTTATGAAATGCTAAATAATATTCCATAATACATGTGCCCCGCCGGTGCTACACTGCCCCCTCCTCAGAAGTCGACCATCCCGGCGACCACCACCCCCAGTCCCCACCTCAGTTCTGATACGAGTCTCAGGATTCTGCGGGCAGCCGAAGGTGCATCACCTCCCATGACGGGGCAGGTCGCTCCCCGACCGCTGGCGTGACTGACTGCTGGCCGGTGCTGGCATGTCAGATCCCCCCCCAGTGCCAACCCTTCTTCTTCTGCACCTTAAGGGGTCCTAGCACAGCTTCCAGGGGGTCCACACCCAGCGACTCCCACAGCCAGACTCCCTTCTCCAGCGAAAGCCAGCGCAAGGTGACAGGTGAGAGGTGACATGCTTACCAGGGGACATGAAGGACATTTGGGGGCAGAAAAGTCGAAGAGAAGAGTATGTCAAGCACTCTACAGGCCAGACATGAATTATGACACTGGTCAGATGGTCGGTGAATGAGCCTAATGTCAGTAATATTACTACAAAAAGCGAATGGAGCCTCTCATCACGCAGAACTTCCTTGAACGGCCTGAGAAATGGTTAGACCTGATATATTCCAGCTACAGAACAAACAATATTTCTTAGCTGTAGATTACCTATCAAATTACCCAGAAACTGCATTACTAACTAGTACTTCATCAGCCAGCATGATTACTCACCTGTAGTGAATGTTAACTGGGCATGCAGTACCCCTCACAGTATAGTGTCTGATAACAGCCCACCATTTACCAGCTATGGATTTCAGGCATCTGCTCCTTGTTATGAGTCTGAACACGTGACCTCCAGACCTCCCTATCCACTG